TACATGCAAATGATATTCAAATGAAAAATATTCAAACATTTGAAACAATATCAATTGATCAAATATTTGATAAATTTCCTCATTATGATGGTTTAAAAGATTTATATGAACGTAATCCATATGGATCATTTTTTTTAATTAAATTTTGGGCTGATGTACCCATATCATCATCAATAACAAATTCAATTAATATTCGTGATGAATCATTTTTTACATCATTTACATATACAAGTTGCTCAAATCGTCCAATACATATATCAACACGTTTATGTTCATTTGGTAAACAAGTTTTAGAAAAAGTTGAAACAAGTGAACATCCACAACGTGATCAATTTGATCAATATATTTATCGTTTTGATCGTTCACCATTATGTGATTATATGGTACAATTTATACAAAAACTTCGTTCTCTTCCAAATACTTGTATGATGAATAGTGTATTGGAGGTGAGACAAAGGAAAAGAAAAGAAAATATCAAAAATGAATTCGATAATTGAGTTCTTAAAAACACGATTCCTAGTAAATATGAGATCTATTGAAAGAGAAGTTTAGCATACCTTTCAAAGATATGCATCGCTCACCCAGAGGCGGAGGGTGACAAGCGAGCAGCTCACCTTCTAACAGCAAGTATGATTCAGTTTTTGGCGACCGCTTCACTGAAGAAAATTTTGAACGGTGGCTGCATTTTTATCATACTCTATAGCTAGGACTTTTTAAAAAAAAAGAATAAACATTAGATGTTGGAAGCTAAGAGAAAGTATTTATTTGTTTATAGGTTTGTGTAAATTTTATTGCAAAATAGATTAAGATTGAAACAAGCACCCTATAAGTATATATGTAACTCTGGCTATGTCTCGCCTAATTAAATATACCTTCATGATATTTTCAATTTGATATTGTTGTTCATACTCGAATATTCAAAAATGAACCACTATTTTTCAGAAATATCATAGCGCCACAAATATCAAGAAAAAAAACGTTCCGTGTTATCGTTAGATGCAGCCGGTCAGCAGTTGCGCCTTGTTCAGCCAGGAGGGCACGAGCTACCACGCCTCGTTAAGTTAGGAAGGCGCAAGGGATTGTGCCTCTTCCAGTAAGAAGGACGCGAATGATTGCGCTTACATTCAGTTATGGGAGCACGAGCGACCGCACCATGTTCCGTCAGGGAAGACATGGACAACTGTACGCCGTTAAGTTAGGAGAACACATGTGCTCACGCCGAATTCAGTTAGGAGAGTACGGGCAGCCGCCCTCGTTCAGTCAGGAGGACACGGGCAACCGCGCCTCATTCAGTTAGGAGGATACGAGCGGTCGCGACTACTCTTAGGTAGTGGACACGGGTGGTCGCGCCTTGCTCGATCAGTAGGGCACGGACGACCACGCCTCGTTCAGCTAGGATGATGTGGGAGACGGCGCCGTTCGCCAAAAAAAGGCTTTCTGATAGAGACCATCTGCGTCGCTCCTACCTCTTTTTTAGGCGCGATCTAGATCTCTGATTCTTTCGTGTTTCAATAAATATACAGAACAATGTCCGTTTGTCATAAACTATCATAACATCCAAACCTATCAGTATATATTTCAACTTTGCATTAGATAGAAGTTCTCGTTATTATCTTGAATAATTTTTATAACTTCAATTATGAAAGTAATTTAAATGTTTGTTTAAATATATTACTGTTTTTTGTACATATTAAAATCGTCTCATTTACAATTAAAATAGATGCATTGGTTTTTTTTTGACATTTTAATCTATAAAATCTTTCTTTTCTTTTCTTTTAGAACTTTACTGTCCTCCAAGTGATTAAATGTCTAGATAATCCCGAACAACTTTTACTTTGTCTTGCTTTTGTTTTCGAAATAGCTATGTTTGATGCAGGTGGGCCACAATATCAAGTGTACAAATTGGTTGCTAATTAAGAATAAAAACAATGATACAATCATATTTTTTTTTTGTTTGGTGCCGTTCTTTTTTTTCTCATTCTATGTATCTTCTGTATTTTTTTATGCAATTATTCTGTTCTTTATTCTTACTTAAATACACTTATTATTTTTTAGAACAGTGAGGTGTCGGTTTTCTTTTGCTCAATTACAGGGACTTGTAAGTGCTGTTCGAGCGATTAATCAACACGTTTGTGAATTTTCTATCTTTGTTTAATATATGCCCAGTGATTACGGCATTCGTTCTTTTTCTTTCTTTCCGTTTGGTATTTTTCTATTTCTTTACATAACAAGCCCGGTCCTTCTCTTATTTTCCTTTTTTTTTGTTTATTAAAAATAAATCTTGAATAAAAACGATAATAAGCGATACGAATACATTAGTTATTTCTTTTGTTTGTTTGTTTTTCTCTCATTCCCGATCATATTCTAGATGGCAATGGCTTCACAACATATGCAATTATTACAATCATTTCGAAAAGTTATACCACCACTTTTATTTGATACACATAAAGGTGAAGCTGGTCGTATTGGTGTTGTTGGTGGAAGTGAAGAATATACAGGTGCACCAATATTTGCTAGTATGGCAGCATTTCGAACAGGTGCTGATCTTGTTCATGTTTTTTGTGCAAAAAGTGCTGCTATACCAATAAAAAGTTTTTCACCTGATTTAATTGTACATCCACTTCTTGTAAGTTAAAATAAATTAATTTATTTCTCTTTAAGATTTATTTAGGATTCACAATCTTTTTCGGATGATATAGATAAATGGTTACCACGTTTACATGCATTAGTTATTGGTCCTGGATTAGGACGTGATGAAAAAATTTTATCAAATGTTGAACAATTAATTGGTATTTTACGTAAACAAGAACATCCCATACCAATTGTTATTGATGCTGATGGTCTTCATTTAATAACTGAAAAACCACATCTTATAAATAATTATGAAAATTGTATATTAACACCAAATGTTATTGAATTTGAACGTTTATATGCAAAAGTAACAGGTGTAAAATCTGACGAAATAAAACAAGAAAATGATAAAAGAAAATTAGCACAAAAATTAGCTGAAACACTTCATGTTAATATTCTTATGAAAGGACATTTAGATACGATATCTTCACCAAATAGTCAAGAACCAATACAATGTGGTATTGACGGTTCACCAAGACGTTGTGGTGGTCAAGGAGATTTATTAGCTGGAGCTTTAGTTACATCATATTGTTGGGCAATAAAAAATCGTGACAAAATTGAACATCAATCACCAAATTCAGAGAGATCACCAACAAGTAATGAACGTATAAATTATTTATCTAAATCAACTCCAGCTCAAGTAGCGGCTTATGCTGCATCAACACTTGTTCGTACTGCAAGTCAAGGAGTTTTTAATAAACTTGGTCGCTCAATGATTAGTGCAGATATATTAAAAGAGATCGGACCAACATTTAATAAAATTTTTGAAAAATAGAAAAAAGAAAAAATTTTTCCATGTTCATCTTATTTAACCGTGCGCGTGTTCGCTTTTCTAATAGAAATAAACCTGCTATTTATTTTACATCCTTTATTATTTTATTTTTTTTTAAGATGTTCGAACCAAATATAAACACATTTTCACAATCTATTTTAATTGAAAAATCTCCCACATTATTAGGTACAATACGTAATTTTGTATCTAATATATTTGTACCATTTCAACAAGATTATCGTTATTGGCCATGGATAAAAATAGGAACAGTCATTATTGTATGTATTGGTTCCTATACACTTTATAAATATTTACCTGGATCTTATCGACATCATTATATGTCATCAACAAAAAATTTTTCTCTTCGTTATAATGAAGCACTTCATTTAGAAAAAGAAAAACTTTTTAACGAATTAAAAAATGTGAAAATGCGAGAAACAGAAAGAAGAATTCAAGTTCTTGAAATTGGTGCTGCACATGGTGCTAATATGCCTTATTATCCTCCATATCGTAATATAATAAATAGTATTTTAATAGAAATTTTCTATTTTTATTCTTTAATAGTTGTTGAAGTTATTTGTGTTGAACCAATACGAGAATTTGAAAAAGATTTAAAAGAAACACTTCAACAAAATCTACATGTTAGATGTAGAGAATTATTAATAGGTAATGCTGAAAATATTGCTGGTAAGTAAAACAAAACAGAAGCAAAAAACAACCTATATTTTTTTTATTTATAGTTATTCGAGATAATCAAGTTGATGCAGTTGTATCAACTTTAACACTTTCTTGTTGTAAAGATATTGATCAAGCACTACGTGAAATTCGTCGGATTCTTAAACCAGTAAATAAATAAAAATCTTGATGATTAATTAAATCTTGTCGTTTTTTCTTTTGTATTTTGTAGGGTGGTCTTTTTCTTTATATGGAAAATATTCGTTCATCGAATATTTTCTTTGCTTTTATTCAATATCTTTGTTCACCAATATATAAATTATTATTTGGTATTTCATTAATAAGAAATATTCCAGAACATATTGAACGAGCACATTTTAACGGTGGTACAACACAACATATATTTAATGCACATGGTATTCCATTTCTTTTAAGTCCGCATGTGTCGGGTATAGCACGAAAATGATTTTTCTATTATTAGTATTATTTGTTATTAAGTAAGCTTGTGCCTTATTTTTTGTTTTGCGATTGTGTATAGATATTTTTTTTTCTATGGGATTCAGAAAAATTTAATAAAAAACGAATTATTGTTTTGATGATTGTTTTAGTCGTTTGAATAGTAATTAAAAAAATAAAGAATTATTCAAGCTGTATATGAAAGAATTTTTTTTGTAAAACAAAGAAATAAAAAAAAGCTTACGACACTCGGTATTCCCAGGCGGTCACCCATCCAAGTACTAACCGAGCCCGACGTTGCTTAACTTCAGTGATCGGACGAGAACTGGTGTATTCAACGTGGTATGGCCGTAAGCATTTATTATGAGTGATTTCTTTCAACATATTCATATTTTTTTCTCGATTTATGAAAAATATTGATAAATGAAGCAAAATTATGTATAGATGATGAATTACGAACAACATACTATGTTTGTTCTTCTTCCATATTATAAAGTAAATGACGATGAATAAGATCATGAATTGAAGTTGCAAACGTTAACAAATGTATTCTATTTTTAGCAACTTGTTTACTTTTTATTTTATTGAATTTTATGTTCAGTTGAACAATCAATTCTTGTTCAGTACTTACACAAGCATTTAATCAATCTTCAATAGCTAGAGATACTTTTAATAACAAATCTGTACAGATGCATTTTAATAATAGGAAAAAAAAAGAATCGATAATTATTGATATTTGGCTAAGGAAAAGTTAATACAAGTTTGATAGTACATATCGTCATCGTCAAAAAAGATGTAATTGATAATTAAAGATGAGCAACTTCGACTTCGGAGCTAGCTCCGCTTTCAGAGCAGAGTTGGAGCGGAGCGGCTTGAACAAGTCTGGAGTTGAAGCTGAGGTGGAGCGGCTAAAGGTCGGAGCTGCCCATCTCTATCGATAATACAAGTAGATAATGACCACAACCAATTTCAAGTGATCGTTTCGTTTGAAAAGTAACAATAGATAAAACACTATACATAATGGCAATAAATATATATCATTATTGCAAAAGATGTATTTAATTTTACTACTGTCGTTTGTCGTGAAAAAGAAACATTTGATTGAATACTATAACTAAAAATAACGTCGAGTAATAGATGAAAACCTGCTGAAGTAAATTGTCATTAACTACCACAATAACATTCCTTACAAAAGCATGATGATGTTGGACACATATTATTATATTAATATTGATGACCATTATTTTAACAATAATTGCGACCTGAAAAGTCGTAAATAGGATGACAATCAAATTTAAAACAATTTGCATGTTGATCAACGTCACATTGATACGTTTGAAATCACAATTGAGCATCGATTGTGAAATCGATATAGTTTTAGTGAAAATAAATTCAATTTTTGTATCATTATTGTCACCTCTTGAATCTGTAGAACATTCAGAAGTAAGACAATAATAATTTATTTCATACATTCTTTCATCATCTGCAATATATCGATTTGACTAAGATATTGTTCTTTTCAAATAACAAACTTGTTCAAATTTTTCATCAGGATAAATACAAATCAAATTTGAAGAACAATCATATGCATTCTTGATCGTATATAACATTCCAGAAAAGTCATCAAAACATTGACAAAAATATTTATTTGAATTTGAAAAACATCTACATTGTTCATGCAAATATTTTAAAGGATAATTTTTCCGATATGAGTAAAAGTTCTTGTACAAAAACATCTACTTGTAATGAAAGACGATGTACTGGTAAAAAATGCATATCGAATAGGATAAAGCATACTATTCTATTTTGAGTTTATCATAAGCATCAATGTGTACTATGATTGTAATGTTTTGATCGTATTAAATAAAGAACATAGAAATTGAATTCTTTTTCGACAATCACGTATGAAGATATAATTAAACTGTTCAAAAGAATAAGTGTTCGTCTTTTTGTCAACAAGTTTAATAACATAAGTGAAGATTGTTCATCATTCAGTTGTTCGAAATTTTGATGTGACACTGACTCATTAAGAGTGTTGGTGGGGAGCATGAGTGAGTGGGTGTCGTTGTGGGCTGCGCTGAGTGATCAGGAGAAAGAGACGTAATGGAAGATAGATGAGCGAAGTTTTGGTAAAATATACTCATTTATGATGTAATTATCGATCGGCTGAACAATTCGAAGCTTCTGCTTCTTAGGAGGGAAGGAATGAAGGTTGAACGAAATCTTAGTAATGGGTATTTATTAGTTGTGCAGTTTGCGATCACTTGATCGACTTGCAAACTATTTTTCGAAATGAGTACGATTGGTGAACAATATGTTGATATTGAGTGCTATAAACGAACTGAGTTGGTATGCTTTAAAATGAGCATAGTAGGTAAATAGGGTGTTCATAAAACTATTCATTTCGCATATGACATACATGAAGATGATCAACTTGTAACATTTTATTGAAAAATAGGGAGAGAAATGTACATGAGCATGTCTGCCATTGATATTACAAAAAGGAGAAAGAACGCGAATTTAATCAAATATTGTTTGGTATATTTTTAAACAGTTTAATAATATAATAAAGTAAAGAGTTCTCGTGCAAATTGCACGGATCGGTTTTTCTTAAGCTTTGTGACTTTAAGTTGGTCGATATATCTCCACGTAAAAGAATTCTAGAAAGTATCTGAGAGCTCGTAAAAATTTGACACCATCCTCGAGAGCTCCAGATATTCTTCTCAAGATTGAATTTTGACTCTACACCTTTAACCGTTGACGTTTGGCACTGACAACAGTCACACACACAAAATATTATATAGGTAAGGGAAAAAGGAAGACCTAGTAAGCAGTGTACAAGTGAATAGAGATTTCAATAGTATATTGAACACACGGCTTCGAACTTCCGCACGGCCTGGCGACTTAATGGTCCACCTTGTTGTGACTGTATGAAGTTTAAAACAGAGAAAATCTTGCTTCATGGTGTTCAAGTGCTTATTAGACTATGAATGTAGACGTAGAGTGTGTCTGAGAATGTGTGGTGATGTCTAATGTATATCTTCTCTTCAGCAATTTCAACACAGCACGATTACATCCTGCACATAAAACCAAATTCATACCAACACCCTAGCGATACATACTTCCGCACCCACATCCACACGTAACATTATATTATACTATCTTACATTTGTAAGCATGTATTCAAATCAAAATCTTGGATTAATCAGTAGGGATTACAAGAAAAAAAAAGGAAAAATCTTCGAATGTCCTTAGCATTCTCGCTGTATACTTTTCTCGATCGATCAAGTCTTTCACCGTTGAGCAATTGTATGTATGCATACAGCAGTCTGATTATTTTACGTTTATTGTCCCAGGATTTACAAACGAAACGGGCGCCACTGGTGCTTGTGGTGAATAGACTATCGTGGGTGCTATTGCTGAAACGTATTGAGGTCGACGTCCATTTATTATCACAGCCATATTAAAGACACTCAAGCATAAAATAAAAAAACAATTAATGAGTTGAACGATCAATATTATACGCCAGGGGCCACAAAAAGTATAGTCACTGAAGCAGTAAGGTACATCAATCAAAATAATAATAAAAACGATTCCACTCAGTGTACATAAAACTAGTTCAAAAAAGACCAAAATAAACAGGCTTGTTAAGACGTACACTTCATGGCGGCACAAATGTAAGATGAGTATCCCAGTAGTAAATAAATACACACCATTGATAATACCACCAAAACTAGGAAAAACAGCAAAAAATATTTTCTATTTGATTATCAAAGTTCTTACCTCATCAATGCATTAACAATAATACCTATATCCAATCCAATTGCAACTAGTCCAAGGATGATATAAAAAATTCCGCCCACAGTCAATTTTAATGATACTGACGACGGAATTTTTGTTAGTAGATGCATCATTGGATTGCTATACACGTTGCTCGGGTTGAACATAGGTACAGTTGAAAGTGTCATCGGAGGATTAGGATTATATTGCATGGTATGATTTTGTATTGGGATCTACGTTATATATAGTATGTTATTCTGTATCTGAAAATGAAAGTTGTATTACTGGTAGTAACGTACTGGACCAGAACGAGACAAGAAAAATTTCAGTCATGTAGAAGCGGTCATTTTTCAAGAAAAAATGGGTTTCTGAGTTGAGAAAACTCGATTTTTTCTTATGTTTATTCGAACGATAATTTCATGAATGTTGCGAAACTTTCAAAGTGAGTTTGCTTATCCCTAATCACTGTGGCAAAAATTATGTATTGCTTGCTGTGAATTTTTTCTACATCTCATTAGACAGATATGCTGTTTGAAACATAATCACAAGAAAAAGAACTAAGTATAAATATTACTTTCTTTATACAAAGATAAATATTGCAACGAGTGTTGACTATTGATAAGGACTCACAGCAGGTGACACTCGATATCTAGTTTGTAGAAACATATTACGTCGAAACAAAATATTCTGAGATATAAGAGCGAAGGAAGCTATATGAAAACAACCTATGAGAGTCCAAAGCCTTATCTCAAACAAAAGCTGTTCTAATCTATTCAGAAAAAGAAACAAACAAGTAAACACTTATCATCATAACTCTCTTGATTCTCGACTGAATTCGATTCAATCATCATTTCTCATCGTTTGCTGGATTCTGTTTTGAGAACTATCGTTGAACATACGCTCATACAAAGGAACCTTATAATATTCCCAGAAGCGATCATTTTGTATGAGAACCGAACCTTTCTTTTGAGTTTTTCTAAAGTGAACTTTAAGGGCACTCCTATCTCTTTTTCTAACTCAAAAGGTTTGCTGTTTTCATGGTATAGTGTGAATCATTATCCACCTATTGAGTAAATTTTAGGAAGCAAAAATTGTTTTAAAACGTTAAAAAATTCGAGAAGAAATCAAATTTACATAACGAAGATATTGAAAACATGAGATTGGCTGAATTTACCTCACGAAAAAACCTCATTGGCTGTGAGCCGCACAGCGACAGAATCTGATTGGCTGGATTCTGAGCAGGAAAAAATCTGATTGATCCAGATCCAATAGCAAAAACATTTGATTGGTTGAGTTGCCAACCTCAAAAGGCCGCATTTCAAATAGGTGCTCTGAACGCTCACAAATATTTGTTTACATGTGCCTACAAATATACAAGCAAGCAAACGCATTTTATTTCATATGACCCTAGCTTCAATCGAGGGTATAATCCTGACTGTCGAATTAATAAATAAATGAAATTTTTATTTAAAGTATTACCTCGAACCATTTTCTCAGCCGTAAAAGAATTTTAAACAAATTGTTCTTTTGTTAATTGCAGCGATGCAGAATCTACTGGACCTCTCCTAGAGCAACCAGAAAATCACGAGAAATTTTCTCCGGTATGAGATAAATCATCATCTGTTTATTGACGCTATACCAAGACTTAAACGCAGGCAAACATTCTTTAGTTTTTCCGATTTTCCTCGACAGGTAGCTTTTCTTTAGAAGCGTCGCTGCAACCAACAGGCAAATTCTTCATTCCTAGTTTATAGATTACCTAAACGATTTTGTTTGAGCAATTCGATAACTTTTTTTTTGCAGACATAGTCTCTATCATCGAATGTTTCATCAACAGTTCCTTTCTGAAGTGCATCTATTCAATTTTTTTTTGTATCATGAATAGAAATACATTAAAATTCAAAGAAGATAATGCTTTAGATATTCTCTTCTCATCTGACATAATACAGAACAGATAAATGAATGATTGTATATACATATACTGTTTTATCTAGACAACAAAAAAGAGAGACTGTTTAACTCAATCTTTTTCTTTTTTCTTATCTTATCTGGAAGACGGTTAATTTTTTTTCTTAGATTTGTACTAGGCGCACTTTTAAATTTATTTTCTTTTTTTATTTTTGTTTTGCTTTCGACTTCGAAGAATACATTTATAGATTTTCTGCTAACTTATTTGTATTATACGTCGAGATTAGTTTTGCTCAGCATGTGATCAATGAAAATTAAATACATATAGGCAAATAATTAGAAATAGACATATGCCAGCAAAATCAAAAAAACTTGAAAATAATATAAACGGACTTCGTCATAGTAGAAAACTAACAAATGATATAACAGAACGTACGCAACGAATTGTATTAGAAAAATTTACTGATGAACAATTGACAGAATTTCGAGAATTATTTGATATGTTTGATAAAGATAATCAAGGTTAAATTAGAGACAAAAAAAAAAGAAAACCAAAACTAAAAAATTGATTATTTTAAATTGTTCTTAGAAATGTTAACATTACAAACACTTGTTTCTGTTATGAAAACAGTTGGTCATTCACCAACAGAATCAGATATGATTGATTTAATGCGTGAAATTGATATTGATAATTCTGGTACAATAGATTTTTATGAATTTGTAAATATTATTTCACATAATATGTATCCAAATGAAACAAATCAAGAAATTCGACAAGCATTTGATTTATTTGATCAAAATCAAGATGGTTTAATAACATTTGATGATCTTAAATTAACTGTTGAAAAATATTTTGAAAATTCAATAAATGATTTTGAATTATATCAAATGATTGAATTAGCTGATCGTCATGGATTTGGACATGTATCATTTGAAGATTTTCTTCATGCAGCTGTTTGTCGAAATGATAAGAAACGAAGTAATATCAACACTTAACCAACTATCAACATATCAAATCACTTTCACATAACGACATCTGTTGCTTTAATTCAATTTGATTCTCAAGAGATCAAAAAAGAAAAAAAAGATTTTCTTATATAGTTCAAAACGAAAAAGATTGATCAAATCAAGTGGCGGAATTAAAGAAGTCTTAACCCTTCCTTCTTAGCCCAAAATCTTGTCTTCGCCACTGTTTATATCGATTTAATAATTGTTTAAACTAAACTGTTAGACCTACAAGGCTATATAGGTCATAATAGGTGACCCATCTATTATCTCATACTCATCTTTTCTTTCTTTTTTTCCATATATAGCAAAACCTCTGTATATGAACATGGTCCTCTCAAGCGAATTTCTCGAAGAATAAGTCTCTCTAATATGAGCAGTGGGAGCTTATCTGCAGTCCCATGAGCAATAACAACCTTTGTAATGTGAACAACAAATGTTCTATCATTCATGCACAGAACGATAAAAAAAATTATGTTATATGTATTACGTTATGATAAACAATCATGGGACATATATAAGAAGGAGATGGACTAACCCGTACATATTTAAAAAGAAAAAAGAACAATATTAGATAACAGCAATATTACTTGGTGTAATATCTCATCATTTTGTGTAAAACAGTTGGTAACGTCAAATCATGTCAATATGTGTTGATTGACTTCTGATTGAATACTTGTAAGTTAGATATTAGAGAGGTTTTATTGTAGATTCTTTTCAAATATTTTCTATTCAGTGATGTCATGATTTCTTTTTTTTTTTCTTCTAAATTATTGTCTTTAAAGAATATTCTCACTCTTTATTGCGTTTATATTAGGTTAATAGCCAAAAGAAATACAATAAGATAAATAAAGTATTAATTGAACAGAACGTTTCTTTTTGCGAATTGTCATCTAAAAGAATAATAAGAAGAAATCAAAAAAAAAACCTACAATGGTGGACAAACGTTTAGAGTAGCTGAAAAGATTCTCCATCAGGACTGACGAATATAAAAACTTCAATAAAACTGTTTGAATGAAGATGTCTGAAAAATCAAGACACACAGAAACCAGTTTTTTTGACACACATTTAAAGTGATTTTTGGAAATGATTTTATTTGATAGAGTAAAATGAGGTGTCTCTACTCTCTTCGTGATCTTCTTTCATTGAACTGTATTCAATTTATAGCAGGTTCCAAAGTGTTGAACACCGTGACATCATTAAAATAAAAGAAAAATACTTCTTGAATTGTCTGTAAATTGCATGTAGTTCGACGAGGAAAGGTCATGAAAAGAATCGAGACATCTCATTTTACTCTATCAAATAAAATCTTTTCCAAAAAAAGCTTCAAATATATATCAGAAAACTGATCTTTGTGAGTCTTGGCTTTCCAGACATCTCCAATTTAAGAAGTCTTATTAGAGTTTTTAGCAGAGTTGCAGAATATGCCGTAAAAAAAAAAGAAAAATTTCCTCGCCTAGAAAAATAAAAAGAAACAAGACGTCCTTGTATAGAATATATATTTATTATAAAGAAAGAACATCGAAATAATTCTACTTAAAATAACTAGTGTGATATAAAAAACAATTCATTTTCTTGATCTTCAATTGACTCTGGTAATCTTGGTGCTTGTTTTTTTTTTTCGTAAACGAGTTAGCACAACCGAGTCAGGTGATATAAGTTTCTATGTTTTATATTGTTCACTCTTGTTATAAAAATAACCAATTTCTCTCCTTCTTGGTGCTAAATTAATCATTCAGTAACTGTTTGATAAAGGACTCAGCAGAATGTAATGGAGAAACATTCCAGTGAAGCATTACTTCGCTATCAAACGAATCATGATGTAATGAGTGTGCACGGGGGCAACAGAAAAGAACACATGAAATTGAATGAGGAAGAGAGAAACGAAACATGAAGTAAGAACAAGAACGGAAAGAGAGAAAAAGTTAACAGCGCAAATGCAGGGAACTCATCACAAAGAATAATACCTTGTAATTTTTCTTCATATGGAACAAAAATATTTTTCGAAACGTTCATAGATTCAAAAATTTCCCTAAACGCGCGTTTCTGCACACGGCCAGATTCTGCATGTCTGGTTTTTAAATCCATCAATCCTGATAGAGAAATCTTTCAGTTACTCAATCGTTTTTTCAGATTCGTCCCATCTATTATCATGTAGAAGACAACTCAAAAATACAACTGTTCGAAACTTTTGTTCGCCATTATAAGTTCGTTTTGATTTCTTGTTCTTATTCTTCTAGATGACAAGTGAAAATTCTCTATGAAACACTTCATATGTATTCTTCTTGTTTGACAATAG